ATGAGATACCTAAAAAAATTCATTTACCCATATACCATGTTGTATAACATGTTTCAAAAATTCATGTCAGTGTTAATAAATAAATATATTGGTAATCTTCCCTGTTTATTTTCTCATTCAATTAAGGTAAAATGTTAACATTTAAATTTTAATTTTTAAAATAAGTCTATACAAAAAAATTAATAAGATAAGTTTATACATATTATTATTATTGTTATTATTATTTTATACCTTTTTTTGAGAAAAGGTCTCCCTGTAGCTCCAACTGATGTGGAACTCACTATGTAGCCTAGGCTAGTCTCAGTCTCACAGAGATCTGCTTGCCTCTGCCTCCCCAGTGCTGCTGTCACCCAGCCCACTTTGTACAACTTTTATAAGTTCTTTAATTTGTGGGTTATAGTTTGTTTTAAGATATTCAGTCTGGTTATCTGCAGTTAGTCTGACAGTTCATCCAGTTATTAGAAAGTTCCTGAGAATGTACATGTTGTGTTGGTTACTAGTTTGTTTCTTCCACAGTGGTTTGGTAATCTGGTAACAATGCAGTGGTGGAATGATCTGTGGTTAAATGAAGGTTTTGCCACTTTCATGGAGTATTTCTCTCTGGAAAAAATATTCGAAGAGCTCAATGGTGTAAGTACACTGTTTCTTTGTACTACTGGGAATACTGGGAGGAAAAATAGTCAAGGCATAAGTCATATTTACAATGTATTTTCTATAAATTTGGGGTAATGAAAATGTTTCTAGAGAACTATAGTAAAATATTGTTACTGATATTTGTGCTTTTTGAAATTTGACAATAAAAAGTATAATTTTCATTACATGTAAGTTGATTAAAAAATAAGTAATTTGGGGCTAGAGAGATGGCTCAGCGCTTAAGAACACTGGCTGTTCTTGCAGAAGACCCGGGTTTGAATCCTAGCACCCCCATGACAGCTAACAACTGTCCGTAACTCCAGTTCCAGGGGATCCAACAGCCTCTTGTCCTCCAAGGGCATTGTGTAACATGGGTGCACTTACCTACATGCAGGCAATACACACATACACATAAAAATAATAAATAAAATATTGAAAAAATAAGTAATTTGCCCTTGCTATGTACAAACCATACTTTATCCTATTTCAGAGACTTGGATATCATCCCATTATAGAGAGAGGCACAGTGCTGTGAGTGTGTTATGAGTCTGGAGATATTTCCTGTACTTAGAGGTATTCAGACATAGGCTATAATGTAACAGATATTGCCAGAATATTTCAAACAGTGTTAGGGAGCTGAAGAGAAAAACAAAATTGGGCCCTCTGACTACAGGAAGATCTCTCATGTTAATAACTTTTTACCCTAAAACTCTGTGATTTGCTGTTAAACTTCCTAAGGACATTATTCAAATATTCACAGGAAGTACTCTTGAGAAGGTTCAATTTGAAATTTCTGTGTAGGGCTTTATTAAAAATTGCAAGTACTTTTTAGTTGGGTTACTAAGTAGGTAATGTAGATCTCTGTGTGCTACTTAATGAAGCAATGAGATATGCAATTTCACCACTTGGGGGTGCCCAGTGTTTAAAACTGTAATACATAGTTTATGGAAACTCTTGACAGAACTCTCAAACAATTCTTTTAGTATAAGAGCTATATTTTATTTACAATGACCTCAACTAAGGAAATGTATATTTTCTTAATAGAAAAGGTAGACTGTGTCGAAAATCAACATAAGAACCAGGTTTCTGTTCTAAGTTTCAAATTTTATTTTAAATATATACCTTAACCTTTTAGAATATTCATCTTAAAGATCAAGATTTGGCATTTACTTTTTTAGTAGTAAATTCTTAATTTCATCTTTGTATAGTTTAGGAAATGCTGATTTTCATGTCTCTGTACAATTAAGTGCATTTTAAAGTTAAGGAGTGTGTGTATACTGTATTTTCAGTACCTTGTATTCTGAAGTTTAGTAAACCAGTTGTTTCAGCTGGAGTAATTAGTGTAATTTATATAAATAATTGCTGTAATTGCTTTTGCCTTTCCTTTTCATGATTTCCTACGTGTTTCAATTTTTTTGCTAGTATGAAGATTTCTTAGATGCTCGGTTTAAAACCATGAAGAAAGATTCCTTGAATTCATCTCATCCAATATCATCATCTGTTCAGTCTTCAGAACAAATAGAAGAAATGTTTGATTCTCTTTCCTATTTTAAGGTATTACTGTGCACAAAGAAAATATAACTTCAGTAGGCTTCAAATTAATTTCGTTTGTGAGCAAACAGCCTGATTCAGATTAGAGATTAAATGAGTATTACATATAGGTATCCTATTGAACTTCAGAATTCAGTTAAAGAGTTAAATGTTTAAATTTTGGTCTTTCTTTTGCTGTCTCAATTTCTGTGAATAGTGTTCAGGCAGTTAACCAGATCCTATTGGAATATTGTCTGTCAAAGTTCATTTTTTCTATAGCTCTACAGGTAGAATATGAGCAAGCATGTTGTGTTGTTCTAGGTATTCTCTAGAGTTAAGACCACCAAAACCATTAAACAAAAGGAGATTTTAATAATCGAAGATTATTCTGCAGGATCAGAAACATAGATCCCAGATTTTTAGGCAAAAAAGTAGAGGCCTTGTTATGATCCCTATAGGTAAGAGGAAAGGGGAATTGTGATATCAGTGTTTTTTCACATTTATGTTGGGGGAAGAGGGGAGTGTTAAAACTGATCTGCCTTATTTTTGGCTGTCAGATTACTTGGCTAATAAATTTCTGCACTAAATAGAGAAGAAAATGCATTAAATATGTGAGACTAGAATTCATATTCTCAGAAAGCTCACAATTGGGTGGTACTTGTGGAAGAGTAAGAGAGGCCATATATGCTGAAAGAGTACAGAGAATTATTCATGGCTGGGAGGCTGAAGAGAATCTTTGAAGGAAAATGGTCCTTGAAATACCTGTAAGAGCACAGGTAAATAGAAACGGGTAAAGGAAGGTAGGACAGGGATGGAACAGTTTGGTCTGTAAAGGAAAGTCAAGAGTTCTGATTGGTGGAGCTCAATGTTTACTTTGAGATAGAAACCAACATGAGTAGGGAAAGATAAGAAATATTGTGTAGGCTCAGTTACAGAAGGTACTGAATACCATAAGAAGTCTAGGCATTTTATAACATAGGAATGACTTGATTAAACTTAGTATTTAGAAAATTTCAAAAAAATTTTTTTTAATTAAATTGGTTTCCATTTCTAAAATGGATTTCAGTAGGAGACACCAAAAATAGGAAACCGCTGCTGAAATTATCAGGTAAAATTTGAAATGAGTTGGTAGTAAAGATGTAAAGAAAACAGCTCTACAAATAAGGTGATGTAAGTACTTAAAGGACTTAGTGACAAAATGTTGTGTGAACTACATCTGGGGAGACATGAACAAAAACGTCTACTCACTCCAGATATAGAATAAGACCAAAGTCTAACTTGGTGAACCAATAAGTTGTATTGGGATTACTTACAGGTATATAGGTGAACGGTTACTTATGGGAGCAGAAATGATTCAGAGACAAATGCATCACCACAAGCCCACGCAGCATAGGCGGCAGCTCACTAAACAGGAAACCCTGGAGCACACTGCACAACCTTCAGGCAGCTCAATGGATTGGAGAGTGTTGCTCCAGGTTGCTCAGTTGATCTGAGCCTCTTCCAGGCAGCTTAGCTGATCGCCACTTCTTCCATACAACTTGGCTTGCCTCAGAGTATCTCTTTGCAGTCTTGAGGAAGGAAGGACCCAGTGAAGCTGGTCCATTTCAGGGACTTCCTGAAGTTATTGAAGTTGTTTACTTCCCAAGCTTAAGGAGCTTCCCCGAAGGACAGAATGTTTCACCTTCTCTGAAAACATGTTGTTAAAGGAAAGATTGATCTCTAAGGAAATTGCCACACAACACAGGAGAAGGCATAGAAATGTTTTTCAGGTTCAAGCCTGATGGAGGAAAAGACTGATGGAGGAAATTATACTTTTAACAGGAAATCAGATTAATTAGCTAGAGTAAATATACAATAATTCTCTCTTTCCTGCAGTTTTACTTTCTGTGGCTTCGGTTACCTATTGTTAACCACCTTATGAAAAATATTGAAAGGGAAAGTCCAGAGATAACTAATTAATTCATTTTAAACCACATGCCATTCTGAGTAATGTGATAGTGTGATAAAAGCTCATGATGTCCTGCCCTGGAAGGAGTTAACCATTTGTCCAGTGTATCCATGCTGTGTGTACTACCTACTTGTTCTCCCTAAGTAGCCATCTCAGCCTGGTTCAATATCACAGGGCTTATGGTCAAGTATCCTTTGTTTTATTTATGGCCAAGTATCTTTTGTTTTTTGTAATAACTCCCCAATGCATAAGAGTTATGTTGTTGCCCAAAAGACACTTATAAAATGCTTCCTTTAAGAGAACAGGTGAAAATTCTTAACTATAAGGAAAAAAAGAATTATAGGCCTGGATTGCTAAGATTGACACTACAGTAAGATATTTTGAGAGATTATATTCACATGACTAATGTTAATAGTATAGTGTTAACAATTACTCATTTTATTATTTGGAGTTAATATCTTACTATGCCTAATTCATAAATTAAACTGTATTATAGGAAAAAACATAGCATATATGTAAGGTTTGGTATTATGCAATTACAGACATCCACTTGGGGTCTTAGAAAATATCCCGTGTGGATAAGAAAACTACTTACTGTATTCCAGTTAGTTACTGTAGTGATTTTTAAAGCCCACATTGTAACAGTCAATAAAGAAAAGTTTAAAATATGTGCTTCTGTTATTATATAGAGGGTAAATAGAGTAGTTATTTCAGAAGATGTTAGGACAGCTCTGACACCAATCTTCTAAACCCAGTTAAGGCCTTCTGATCATGTGATTTCTGTGTCATACTTAACCCCTGCTGGTATGGTAACTACTGATTAATATGTTTCATGCCTATTGCTAGGCATTGTAGTAGGCACTTTTTAAAAAATATTTTATTATTTTTATTTTATGTGTATGAATGTATTGCCTGCATGTATGTAGTGCACCCGTTGTCATACAGTGCCGGGGAGGTCAGAAGAGGGCTTCAGATTCCCCTGGAACTGGAGTTAAGGACAGTTCGTAGCCACCATGTGGGTGCTGGGAATCGAACCAGGGTCCTCTGCAAGAGCAGTTGGTGCTCTTAACCACTGAGCCATTTCTCCAGCCCTGTAGTAGGCACTTTTTAATTAGTCTAGTTGAGTCAACTGTTGGCTCAACTAGCATACAGTATATGAGAGGAAATAAATATATAACAGATGTAGAAAATAATATCAATTGCTATTGAACATAAAAAAATAAGATTTCTCTCTCAACTCAGGAAAGATACCAAAGAGGTAGTTGTTTCCAGGTTGGAAATGATGACATATGCGTGAGAGGATATAATGTTGCCCTAATATTTGCAAGCCTGGTTATGAATTCTTAATGTTTTCTTGCTCCCCTATTCAGTCATTAGTTTCATATTTATAGACATTCTTCAGGAAGAAAGATGCTGATTATTTCAGCAACATGATACACCAAAATTAAAATGTAATTACTACCAGCAGAGAGATTTTAGAAAGCTTTGCTAACTTTTGTTTCTGCAACAGTGTATGCCCATGAATTCAGCTGGCACTTTAAGCATTGGAGATGGGGGAGGGGGTGACCCAAGAAATTTGTCATATTTTTCTATTAAAAATATGTTTAAAAATACTGGCCATTTTAACACTAACATAAAAATAGCAAAGTACATTGATAGGCCACAAGGAATGGCTCTTTGTAGTCTTAGTATACATGAGAATCTAACTCTGTTAAGTGTTTTTCAGATTTTTTTTACTTTTTTTTTTTTTTTTGGTCTTTTTGAGACAGGGTCTCCTTGTAGTCCCAGCTGTCCTGGAACTCACTGTGTGGACCAGGCTGGCCTTGAACTCACAGAGATCCACTTGCCTCTGCCTCCTGAGTGCTGGGATTAAAGGCATGTGCTTGTATTTGAGCATAATCTTACATCTATCTATTTAAGGCTAACAGTGTATTATAACTGTGCTGTATATATGAAAGTATATGTTTGGAATAATTATATTTCAATTTTAGATTCTTAGTTCTGTAACCTATAATCTTATTTTCTTCTCTTTTGCTTTTAATTTTTTTATTCTCAGGGAGCTTCACTTTTGTTGATGCTGAAAACTTACCTTAGTGAAGATGTATTTCAGCATGCTATTATTCTTTACCTGCATAATCACAGCTATGCATCCATTCAAAGTGATGATCTCTGGGACAGTTTTAATGAGGTAAGTTTCCTGGATAGTTAAGTCCTGTCATGTTACTATAAGAGGTCCTTTGTTTATATTTATTATGAAAATTTCTTTGTGGGTAAACAACATCTGCTCCTTCTTTCTTGGTCCCAAGGACAAACTGAGGTACAGTTTCACCAAACTGCAATCTGGGAAACCAGTGAATTTATTGGGCTTACTTACAGAACAATGAATGAGCATTTACTTACAGGAGTGTGGGTGCTTTCCCCCTAAAGCCACACTAGAAAGTCTCCATCCAAGCATGAATTGTGGCTTCCTCATAGCCACATAAAATGGTGAATGAGTGTTCTCCTAGCCTTCTCCAGCCTATATGCCTTTAGCCCCTCCCCCAGGCCGTATGTGCAACTTAGAACTGCTTGGTTGGGAGATGTGGCTGAATTCTCAGGTGAGAGTCTTGTGACTCTCCCTGTTCCTGCCTTCCTTTCTGGGGTATAAACAGTTAACAAGTTCTGTTGTGAGGATCTTAGGCAAGCAGACACCACCGAGCTTAGGAAGATGTCATCTGTTGGAGGACAGTGCTATACAACAATATTTTTTAATATTTATTTTTATTTTATGTGTATGAGTGTTTTATCTGCATGTATACAGGTGTACCATGTAAGTACCATGCCTGCAGAGGCCAGAAGAGAACATTAGATCCTCTGGAACTGGAGTTGGGAAGTGTTGTTATCTATCATGTGGGTGCTGAGAACCAAACCTGGGTCCTCTGCAAGAGTAGCCAGTGCTCTTAACTGCTGAGCCATCTCTCCAGCCCTAAGAAAAGTTGTCTGTTTTGGTACTGTAGTCACTAAGGATCTGTGTGGCTGATTTGGAGAGCAAGAAGTGTGTGAGTGCTTCTATTCAGGGCTAGAATTTCTGCAGAAGTGAGTAAAGGCCTCATAAGGTCAATAGATAACAAGAACAGAGAGAAGAGGCACTTAAATACATGGCATGGACCTCAGTAGATTTAGCTGCTTGTCCTCCCTGCTGCCTTGTGTCTTTCTGTTTTCATCTATTATAGAAATTATCATAACTTGTGTTTCACCTGTTCATTTTTCACTAGACTGTATTCTCAATCTTTTATCTTCCCACCACTTATCAGAATGTTTGGTGCCTATGGCCAGTAAATATGTGTTGAGTGAAATAGCGAATGAGAATGCATTAAGAGATAATTATGGATGTTAAACCTCTGTCAGATGTATCACTGGTGAAGATTTTTTTCCCATTCTGTGGGTTTCTCTTCACTTCCCTGGTTGCCTGCTTTGATGTACAGAAGTTTTTTAGTTTAATGAGGTCCCATTTGTTGATTATTGATCTTGTTTCCTGACCAATTGTTGCCCAGTTTAGAAAATTATTTCCTACACCTATATGTTCTAGGTTTTTGCCAATGTTTTCTTATAACAGTTACAGAATTTCAGGCTTTTCAGAACTGGATGGTTCAGACCCAATTGCTGAAGACACTACATACATGAACTGTAGGACAAACAAGGAGAAATCAAGTTAGTGATGATTTCAGAGCTTCATCTGTACTGAGAGCACTCATAGTACTGGAAGGTGCTAGGCAAGCTACTGGTAGGAAAACGTAATCATCATCCTTACCTAGATGAGACAGAATCCTGTGAACTACAATAACCACTGGCCTGGCAAGATATGCCCACCAGTGCAATAGTAGCACAAATATTATGGGAGTACCAATCACTCTTTAATTGGATTTGAGGTTCACTTGTAAGAATGGAGCCCATACCTGACAATGATATCAGACTTAGGAACCTGAGGCTAATCAGGTCGCAGGACATAGGGGAAGAACCTAATGCTAGTTTGCTTTCTTTCTTTATTTTATTTTTATTTTATGTGTATGAGTTATTGCCTGCATGTGTGTAAGTGCACCCATGTTGTTCAATGCCTGTGGAGGCCAGAAGAGGGTGAAACTGGAGTTATGGATGGTTAGCCGCCATGTGGGTACTGGGAACTGAACCTGGGTCCTCTGCAAGCCAATGCTCTTAACCACTGAGCCATCTCTCCAGCACCCATATACAGTGATATTTTTATCATCTGTATAAATAAGTCTGTGATACTGGTGGTTATTAAGAGAAGAGGAGGATGAAGCTTGGTACATTAATATTTGTCAGTAAAATACTAAATTTAAAGTCAAGAAATCAGAGTACTCTTCTTAATTATTGAAAAAAGTATAGAGAGAAAGGTGGGAAAAATATACATAAATGGCCTTGGGATGCCATTATTATTCTATACCTTAGTCTCTGTTCCTATTTTGTTAGGTAAAGAAAAAGTGTCTTCTCGGTATTAATGAATCTTACTTTATTTTTGATAACTGATTTTTTTCAAAATTTTTTTCCTATTCCTTTTCTAATTTTTCTACCTTCAGTTCAGGATTCTATATGGGGCCTTTTGAATCTCTTTGTTTCTTGGGTTCAGACCCTTCATGTAGATGATACATCACAAGTTGAGCATGATGAGTTTCATTCTGCCCTTGAGTTGCTTTGGTTTCTGTAGATTTAGATATTCTAATAAGCAATATAATTCAGTAGAAGTTATTCAGAGCAGTGCATGAATCCAGTCTCCCTTATGTATATATGTTAACTACACAATCCTGATAAGCTTTTGAGCTTGTTACTCTGACCTAGATTGGTGGTTTTTCATGTTCTAGAAGATCACAGATATGTCTGAAAATCTGATAATCTTGCCATATACCCCAGAAAATTCACATACATGCAAATCACCACACATAGTTTCAGAGTTTTATAGATACTGGGTCAAGAACCTTTGCTTTGGATATCTTCCTGCTTTCTTGCCTAGTCTAATTGATGGTGTTTTCTAGTATTAACTTTTTCCCCCAGAAGGTGTAGCTTCCCTACAGAGTTCTGTTTGAGAGGAGGAATCCATTCTTACTATCTAATACTTGCTTCTGTATATACTGTTTTTTTCTCTCTAATCATATGGTAGCATTTCAGTTGAGAGGCACATTATTTACTTGGTTCCCGTTGACATATGTATTGAATATACATCTTTGTCACTCACCGCAACTTTTACATAATGTCCCATTCTAACCTAGTCCCTAACATTATCCCCCCTTTTTTTCAGCATCTATATCAAACTGTGCACTGGCCCCTTCATTTCAGTACTGCTTCAAATTCTCCAAAAACCTCCCCCAGCCTCTGAACTAGAAATAAATAGGTCAGAGCTGTGAGGAAAAAAAAAAGATTAATATCACAACAAAATTGGGAAACATGTTCCATACTTTTATCCTTTAGATAATCATACAGTGATCAAGGTAGGACCTGATGTAGTAATGGAATAGTACAAGTTTTATGATGACTTAGTAGCTTACAGTTTACATCTGTATATAATCCAGAAAAGTAGTATAAATCATAAATTCTACCCTCTTGCTTTAGAGAGACAGTTTTTCATAACTTGCTTATTGAGTCATTGATACCAGATGTCTTAAGGGTAGTGGGCCTTAGAGAGTCTACTAACTTATGACATTAGATTCCAGATTTTACAGAGATATGTTCATGTATTTTTAGGAACTGAGATCTATAATCATTAAAAAAAAGCTCATTCATATTCTCTAAATAGACTCAAAGTTAAGGAAACAGACTATTCTGCTACTGTTGCTGCTTTCTGGCTCTCCCACAGGATTAGGTCTTTAAAAGATTGACATTGATGAAGTGAAGAATAGGAGAATAAAGAGGAATCTGGACTTGTTGGTTCTCAGGACTGAGTTACAAAGCTTCTATTCTAGAATACGTACTGTCTTCTGAGTGGTGGTACTGTGACCAGAAAGAGCACTTACCCTATCTTATGGAGTCTAATAACTTTCAACTGGTTATTGATATATATGCTGCTTTTCAACACAGTGCCTCTCTCACACCTTAGATAGCACTCACTTCCATTCAAGCTATTTTTATTTGAGCACTTGCTTATTTGCCTTGATTAAAAATGTAAACTCAAATCAACATTAATGTTTAGTTTTTATATTATCATAAAATGTAGTCTTCATAGAATGTGCTAGAGAAAGAGGAAAGAGTATAGACAAAGTAAACTAAAACTTTTAAACTAATTTTATCTTGAAACAAAATTCTTTTTTAATAGGTCACAAACAAAACACTAGATGTAAAGAAAATGATGAAAACCTGGACCCTGCAGAAAGGATTCCCTTTAGTGACTGTCCAAAGGAAAGGAACAGAGCTTCTTCTACAGCAAGAGAGATTCTTTTTAAGCATGAAACCAGAAATCCAGGCTTCAGATTCAAGGTACTTTCCTGTCTTTATTCGGAACGGTCTCTTTTGTATCTCAGGTTGAAGGAGTTTTTAATGTTTTATAACCATAGGTTCTTAGGAAACCTAACAAGATTATCCCACTCTTAGAACAGTTTGGAAAAAATGTTGCCTTACTGCCCCAAACCAAGAAAGTATGTATAACTAAATGAAATATTAGAAAGAGGAATAATCCTCCAGTATTTTTCTTCTGCAGCTACCTGTGGCATATTCCAATATCCTATGTCACCAATGGAAGAAACTACTCAGAATATCGATCAGTTTCATTACTGGACAAGAAATCAGGTTTGACTTATTGTTAGCATGTTTCTGATAAAATATTGCAAATAGCGTAACTTTTAAAATTTGACCAAAGGATAGATAAGGGATTACATTTTCAAGTGTGTAGAGTCTCTAACTCAGTTTTATAAATCAATGTATCCAATATGTGACTACAGTAAGATTGACTCTTTGTATTTATAGGACTGACCTTTATTTGTAAGAAATGCTCAAAGAAGCTACAGGGAGTATCCTAGAAGTTCTGGTAGAAAATAGCAAATGTTTTATTTTTAGGTTCTGGATAGATATTCCATGTTTTGAAATAAGAAGTAATAGAATAGTTTCTACTTTTGAGGGCTAGTCTGGGACAACTGAATTTTAACAAACATTATAGAATCTTTATGTGCAAAATAAATGTTGATTCATGACCTAGATTTAGAATAAATGTTTAGTATAACATATCCTGGAGACATACTTTTTTTCTAGTAATGAGAAAGGGGACAAGAAACTAGCATAACAGGGAGGTAATAGAGTAGGAAGGTGACACAGATTAAGCATCCTTAATCTCAAGACCAAAAATCTGAAATTTTGAGCTTCAATATTAACAGTCAAAGTGTTTCAGAGTTTTAGATCATTTTAAGTTTTATATTTCTCGATTAGGAATGCTCTACCAGTAAAATCTGTGCAAATGATACATAATCTACAAAGCCCCTAGATCTGAAGCACAATAAGTAATAGTCTATATATGTTGAGCCATAAGCAGCCCATTAAAAAATCATTGAAATGCAGTTTCTAACCATGTATTAAATACTACTGTGATATGCCACAGCAGGCATCCTCTTAATTTACATTCCAAAGTATGAGACTTGATTTCTGTGAGAACCATTGATGATCCTTTAGATTAGTGAAAAAGGGAGAAATTTTGGCTTAGATTTGGATCTGTTTCTTAAGATGATATTTTTGATAGGTGAGTGAAGCTTCAGAGATGTGTAGAGCCCAGATGCTTGCTTTGCAACTTGGCACTCCCATTTACCACTTACCCGATTTTAGATGAGGTATTTGGCCTCTAGCCTTAACTCTAAAATAGACATGGTGATTATATTTTTTTCATAGAATTGTAATGAGGATTATGAGAGTTTGTAAGTGAAATACCTAAACTAATATCTGCTGTGTATTAATTCAATGTTAACTATCTTTACTTATGTTCTTACTAAACTTTGAACTGTTCAGCATAGTATATCCACATTATATAAACTATGGAAAATGAACAGATCTTCTAATCCTGTCATAAATACTCTGGTTTTTTTATTCATTTTAAAATTATTCTACTTGAAAATTATTATGTACATGTGATTTCTGTGTTTTGCCTTTAAAATGTTACATGGTAATTGACATTAACTTTCCATTATTATAGACACTTGACTTATCATTTGTCTTATTTTTAAATTTATTTTATTTTATGTGTATGAGTGTTTTGCCTGCATATATATATACACACACATATATAAATGTACCCATGTTGTGAATGCCTACAGAGACCAGAAAAGGGTGTTAGAGCCCCTGGAACTTGTTACAAACCATTGTTAGCCACCATGTGGATACTGGAAACCAAACCCAGGTTCTCTGCAAAAGCAGCTGGTACTCTCTGCTGAGCCATAACTCCAGCCCCTCATTTGTCTTTATTAAAAAATATTCCATAATAAAAATTTCAAATGTTAATACTTTAGCTATTATGTGAATTTTTATTAATGCTTCTCAAAAGTGAAGACTGTTACCATTCCTAGTTCTGATACTTGTAACTAGACCTTCCGTGTGGTAATAGTATAAGCTGCCACCTGCAGAATGTGAATATGCCATTTCATTGCAGCTTTAGCACAAACTGAAGCAGAGTTACTGCATCAGCACAACAATCTCATTATTTAAAGCCCTAGGAGCAGAAGATGATGTTGTCATAGCCTTGATTAATGTGCACAAAAATCCTGCCTTCCTTGATGAAACAAAACTCTAAATATTAAGGAACCCCTAAAAGGGTATGCTGATCCATGGGTAAAGAAATAACCTTGCCCTCCATACACCCAGCAGCAGTCAAAATATGACCAGAGCATTTCAAAGGAGCCAGTGAGGAAAATACACAAACCTCCTGATAGTACATTTTTGCTGGTATTAGAAATTAGACAATGAGCCGGGCATGGTGGCACACACCTTTAATCCCAGCACTCAGGAGGCAGAGGCAGGAAGGATCAGAAGGTAAAGTTGTCTTCAGTAACCAGAGTCTCAAGCCAGACTAGGCTAAAAGACCGTGACAAAAAAGAAAGGAAGGAAGGAAGGAAGAAGGAAAGGAAGAAAGGAAGGAAAAGGAAGGAAGGAAGAAAAAAGAAAGAAAAAGAAAGAAAGAAAGAAAGAAAGAAAGAAAGAAAGAAAGAAAGAAAGAAAGAAAGAAAGATTAGACAATAGGAATTCTGCTTCTATCTGTTTGCTCTTTAAAAAGCTCCATTTATCTGGGTGTGGTAGCACATGCTTTTAATCCCAGCACAAAAGAGGCAGAAGCAGGTGGGTCTCTGTGAGGCTGAGGATAAACTGGATTACATAGGGAGCTCCAGGCCAACTGGGGCTACAAGGATACCCTGTCTCAAAAAGACCAAAAAAAGCTCCATTTATAGGTGAAGTTGTCTTGCGATTCATGCTGCATCAAATAGCTCAAGTTTGTCTGCTTGCTCCTTATGTTATTCAGTTCTTTGTCACTGACAGAATAATGGAGAAACAGTTTGAAAGAAGGCAAGATTTATTTTAGCTCATTCATTCAAGGGTCTCAGATCCTGGCCAGGTGGTTCTACTACTTTCAGGTGTATGGCAAGGCAGAAAAGTCACAGTGAAAGAGTGGTGGCAGAAGGAAAAGCTTCACCTCATGGCAGCCAGGAAGAACAGAAAGACAGGCAGACAGGCAGATGCATTGGCAGGATATACCCTTTAAAGATATTCCCCAGTGACCTACCTCTTCCACCCAGACCCTACCTCAAAAGAGCCCATTCTCTAGGATCTTATCAGTGGGCTAACCATTCGATTAAGTTAGCACCCTCATGACCCAGGTACCTCAATGATTAGGTCCTCTAGCTTAGGACCAAGCCTTCAACACTTGAGCCTTTGGAGGGACATATTACATACACAGACTATAGAAACCTTCTCTCTCTCCCTTTTTTTTTTTTTGGTTTTCTTTGGGTTTTAGTTTTCGGTTTTTTGAGACATGGTCTCCCTATAGCCCCCAGCTGGACCTTTGTTCAAGGTTACACATTGAGAAAATTACACACAAATTTTCCTCTTTCTCCTTTTTTTCCTACCTTCCTATTGTCTATATTTTATTCAGACCTAAGCTCTTTAACAATAGGAGATATTTAATTTTAACTAGAAACATTTGTGTTTCTGAAAAAGTGTATCAGTGTACCAGAACTATTCCTTTCAAACTGAAAGTCATATTATTGGAGGAAAGGCAATTATAAAGGAAAGGGGAAGAGGGATTTACTACATATTCATCATATGCCATTGTCTGGTCTTTTTCCTCTTTAAAGATAAAGAGTAAAGGAAGTGACACTAGAGAAGGGAATGATTTTTATAAAGCAGACTCAGTTTTACTGTGTGTGCCATGGTAACTCTCTGGAGCAAACTCATGCCGGATTTTCTAATTTTGTAGTTAAAAGATGCTATTATTTTATTTCAGGACTTAAATATTTCTTTATAACACAGTAGTTGATTTTCATAGTTCGTTGACAAATGATTTTTTAAAATTGCAATTAGATTACTTCATCTGGGTTTTTGTCATTTAAGTTTAGAATTGCTCACTCTTTTTTTTTAACTATACAATAGACTGGAAATTTAGCTGTTAATCTGTTAATGATTATAATAAATGAAAAGCATATGAAAGGAGCTTCATTGACATTTGAACTGTAGAACATAGTTACGTCCCTTGTGTGCAAAGGTATTACTTTCTGATAACCTGTGGTTTTGAGGTCCCCCATTCTACTTTTCTACTTTATTCAGAAGACATGAAAGGGACTCTGCTAGTTCTTTAAATGATAACTCTCCTCTCCCTTTCTGCTGTTGGCTGATGCTTACGTTCTGTCAGCTTGATGACAGTAATAATTCCAAACCTACTCCCAGCTGCATTCCTCCTCTCTACCATCTGGAGTTGGCAAGGTTTATAGCAAGGCAAGTGCTTATCAGTGAAAAGAATCGATAGTTCACAGTTTTCTGCAGTTACCCAGTAGAACAGTCGCTGTACTTCACATTCCTTTTTTGGGCAGTGGAAACCCTCTTTGCAGAAGATTGTGCTTGCTAGTCTGGAAAGAGTGTTGATACTTTTTAAATTCGCTAATGATGTAATTAATTTCATTACTCATAACTTTGTTTAAAAGGTCTCTAACCTGGAACTACTACTTTTTCTGTCGCAAATATTACTTAGAACTGCATGTTGCTCTGGAAAAATAAACTATTTTATTTACCCTAACTGATCCTTCCTATCTGTTACTATG